TAACACCAATCCCAAAACCAAGAAAGAGTGTAAAAGAGATGATTAAAGAGTATGAGAACAATACACAGATGCTATCAGATAAAAATAAAAAAACAATACAAACACCAAGAGTTAAAATAAGAGAAACAAACAATGCTCTTAAAGGTTATACAAAGTCATATGAAATAAGCATTATTAACAATAAAGCACCATTAATACAAATGCAAAGCACAAGAAAGTATCTTACATATTATCTCAAAGAATTATTAACAACAATTAAAGGATTAAAATTTGTTGAAACGCTTAAGGTAACATTTGAAAAAATTCAAATAAAATCTAATGGTAATGCTAATGTTTTAACAAAAATTGCTTATTTTAACTGCTCAGCTTTAACAATTACAAATAATGAGAATATTACTGAATCACTACAAATTTCAAAACAAAATATATTAAACAAGATTGATAAATTTACACAAGAAGGTTCTGGATGGGTTATTCGCTTTATAGATAATCATTATCTTAATGTTGTTAAATACAAACCATTACAAGGATCTTCATACATTAATTTACCCCAAGAACTTAAAAACTCTAAAAAGGGTTTGATAAATATGAAAAATAAAGACAGTAAATGTTTTATGTGGTGCCATATCCGATATTTAAATCCGCAAAACAGTACCCCACAACGAATAAAAAAATCTGATAAGGAATATATTAACAAATTAGACTACTCTGGGATTGAATTTCCAGTAAATATTAAACAATTTAATAAAATCGAAAAGCAAAACAGAATTAACATTAACGTTTTCGGATATGAAGATAAACAACCATATCCATTATTCATATCAAAAGAACAATTTGAAGACCATATGGAACTACTATTAATAACTGATAATGAAAACAAACATTATATTCTAATAAAAAATTTTAATGCATTTATGTACAACCAAACTAAACATAAAGAAAGAAAAAATTTTTGTATGAGATGTCTTCAATGTTTTAGTTCTGAAAAAATATTAAATAACCATATAGAAAACTGTATATTAATAAATGGTATACAATCAATAAGAATGCCTGATAAAAATAACAAAATACTTAAATTCAACAACTATCATAAACAGCAACCAGTACCATTTGTCATATATGCTGACTTTGAGGCTATTACAGAAAAGATATCTAGTTGTAATCAAAATAATAAAAAATCATATACAGAAGCCTATCAGAAGCATACTGACTGTGGCTATGGATACAAAATTGTTTGTTGTTATGATGATAAATTCACTAAACCAATTCAACTATATAGAGGTGAAAAGGCTGTTTACAAATTTATGGAAGCTATGTTAAAAGAAGTTAAATATTGTAAAAATATTATGAAAAACCACTTTAATAAACCATTAAAAATGACCTCTGATGATGAAGAAGAATTTAAAAAAGCTGATGAATGTCATATCTGTAACAAAAAATATACTAAGAAAGATATTCGAGTTCGAGACCATTGTCATATCACTGGCAAATACAGAGGCTCGGCACATCAAGATTGTAATTTAAAACTTAGAATAGACTCTGATAAATTAAAAATCCCAGTAATATTTCATAATTTAAGATTGTATGATTCACATTTTATTATGCAAGAAATCGGAGCTATTGTTAAGAAGCATACATACAAAAACAAAAAAGGTGAGAAAATTGAAATGAATATAAATTGTATACCTAATAACATGGAAAAATATATGGCTTTCATGCTAGGTAATCATCTCACATTTCTTGATAGTTTTCAATTTATGAGTTCTAGTCTTGATAAGCTTGTTAATAACCTACCTAAAGAATCATTTAAATACACCTATAATCAGTTAAAGGTGAAAAACTTAATTTAATGACTAAAAAGGGTATATACCCATATGATTATATGGATAGTTTTGAAAAGTTTGATGAGGGGTTGCCTTCAAAAAAAGACTTTTATAGTATTCTTACTAATGAGAATATATCAGATGATTCTTATAAGCATGCTCAAAATGTTTGGAATACATTCAATCTCAAAAACATGGGTGATTATCACGACCTGTATCTGAAATCAGACGTTTTATTATTAGCTGATGTATTCGAAAACTTTCGAAAAACATGCTTAGAATACTATAATTTAGACCCATGTCATTACTTTACATCACCCGGGTTGTCTTGGGATGCTATGCTTAAAATGACAGATATTAAAGTAGAACTAATGACTGATATTGACATGTTTCAATTCATTGAAAAGGGTATGAGAGGAGGCGTTAGTTATATTGCTAATCGATATGGTAAGGCTAATAACAAGTATATGGAAACATTTGATAAGAATAAACCCTCAAAATATATAATGTATTTAGATGCAAACAATTTATATGGAAGGGCTATGTCACAATACCTACCTACATGTGGTTTCAAATGGTTAACTGATAAACAGATTAACAACATAAATTTAGCCACATATAAAGAAGATAATAAAAAAGGTCTAATTTTAGAAGTTGATTTAGAATACACTAAAGAACTACATACTTTACATAACGATTATCCTGTTGCACCAGAAAAAGTTAAAGTAACTAGTGAAATGCTGTCAAAATATTGTAAGACAATTGCTTCTAATTACAATATATCAACAGGTTTAGTTTCAAAATTAATACCTACATTACAAAATAAAGAGAAGTATGTGCTACATTATAGAAATCTTCAATTATACTTAGATCTCGGGTTAAAATTGAAAAAAGTACATAGAGTACTTGAATTTAATCAATCTCCTTGGTTGAAAAAATACATAGATTTTAATACTCAAAAAAGAACTATTGCAAAAAATTCTTTTGAAAAAGACTTCTTCAAACTTATGAATAACAGTGTTTTTGGTAAGACAATGGAAAACTTACGAAAAAGAGTAGATGTTAGACTAGTAACTAATAAAAATAAATTATTAAAATTAGCTTCAAAACCTACTTATGTAAGTAGTAAAATTTTCAACGAGAACCTTGTAGCTGTGCATAAGATCAAAGAAACACTAACCCTTAACAGACCGGCATATGTGGGTATGTGTATATTAGATTTGAGTAAAACGTTGATGTATGATTTTCATTACAACTATATCAAAAAGCGGTATGGTGATAAAGCTAAATTATTATTCACTGATACCGATTCTCTCTGTTATGAAATAGAAACTGAAGATGCTTATAAAGATTTTTGGTCTGATAAAGATAAATTTGATTTTAGTGATTACCCAGAAAATTCACAATATCATGATAAGACTAATAAAAAGATTATTGGTAAAATGAAAGACGAAACCGCTGGAATAGTAATTAAAGAATTCATTGGTTTAAGAAGCAAGATGTATAGTTATATTAAAGATAATAATAAAGAAGATAAAAAAGCTAAAGTAATTAAGAAAAATATTATTAAAAACGAAATAAAACATGAAGACTATAAACAAACACTATTTGAAAAGAAACAAATACATCATACAATGAAAACTATCAGAAGTGTGAACCATCAACTTATTAGTTATGAGATTAATAAAGTATCACTCAGCTGTTTTGATGATAAACGATACATATTAGCTAATGGATGTAAAAGTTATGCTTATGGTCATTATCTTATCAATTCAAATAACTAAATATTAACAAACAGTTATAATGTTTAGTAAGCATGTAGCGTAGGCCTCTGTTAGAGTAATATCATACATACCTGTTCCTCATGTTTGACTACATATCACATAACTGTTTGTAACAAGTAATTAATACAAAAGCGATATACAAAAAAATTCAAAATCCTGAAACAGTTAGTAAAAACACTTTTAACAAAAATTATATAAAACATATAGATTCCATATTTTGTAAAGAGCATCTATGACATTGTTGCGCTCAAAATTTCAGGCTTAGTTGCCTGAAATTCTTCGACCCTAACAACTATTTAAAAAGATGCTTTATTAACACTTGATTATTAACACTTGATTATTAAAGACGGTTTTTTGAAGAGCATTTTTAAGCCTCTGTTATTCTCGAATATTCTTCGAATATTCATCGAATCTATGGAAGAACCCCGAATTTTCACTTCGTGAAAATTTTCCCCACCTGGGTTGCAGAATTCTCGGAAATTCCATTCCCCTGCTCGAGCACTTTGTGCTCTGCGCTGCCGAATTTCCTCCGAAACGATGCTTCTTTAACATTTATTTGTAAAGACTGTTTTTAAAATTTAAACGCACCTATATATTTCAAAAACATATAGATTCCATATTTTTAAACAATAGATTGTAACGTCGAGATTTTTACCCCCCTTTGAAACAATTGTTTTTACGCAGCTTTTTTACATGGCCTTTTACTGAGGGACGCCTTTGAAACATGGCCTTATATTGCGCTGTTATAAAGACACTTTTTACTACTATATTGAAACAAACAATTTTTTACGCAGCTTTTTTACATGACCTTTTTACCAGAGGGACGTCTTTGAACAATGGTCTTATTTTAAGCTGTTATAAAGATAGTTTTTACCCAAGGTTATATATAGTATAGTACATGGGGCGTATGGGATAACAAAAAGTGAACTTTTTGTGATCCCCTACCCCCATGTACTATACTACTAATTTCCCTTCCCCTCAGGAAAACAACATTAAATGATGTACCATATTTCCACGTCTTTAAATACCATGTTATTCTTGTGTTTATTAATAAAAATGCAAATATATGTATAGCCTGTTACCACAACTCCCTCACACCAAACTAGTAGTGGTAGGTCAATTTGAGGAATGAAAACCGAAGAGTATCATTATTTTTAAAAACAAATCGTTCATTAAAAAGCCTTTTTTTATTTCACTACAAGAGAAAATCACGCCCTCGTGTTCATTTGGGCAACAAAAACAGTGTCAAACTTAATCTTTACATTTGGCATTCACCGTCACTTTATAAACCTTTTCTTTCATTCTTGCGTGTACTTCTCCTCGTAAAACACTCTGCTGGTAAGTAAATGCTTCAATTTGATTTGACTTAAGTGGTTTTCCCGCTTTTTTATAGATTTCTTTTCTTCTGAGAAGAAAGAAAAAAGCGAAGCGATGGATAATGTCTCCATTTTGAATCGAATGGGCGCTTGTTTGGAACTGAGATTTTTAGCACCATGGAAACGTGACGTCACCACTTAAGGACTCTATATCCGGTACAAGACGAATCCGGTATCGTGTGAACAGGGCCAAAATCAAAAAGGTGGCAAGAGCGCAGACAATCGCCGGAAGCAATCAGGTGATCAATGTGGAATGTGTGGACACCTTTACTTAAAAGGAAATGCCCTGCTAAAGGTAAGCAGTGCAATAAGGCCTCCGCTATACGGACGAATCTAATTCACACGAATTCAAACAACGCAATTTTATTGGACGATACTGCGACGTATAACTTGGAAACTTACATCTCATAAATTAAATTCGACAAAGTGAATTAGATTCGTCGGAGATTGACGCATTATGCGACACAAATGCGTTTTAGAAATAGACGATGAACTACAGTCGCATTGAATTAAATGCCATTAATTATATAAAAATATTTCAACCAATCATAGACAGAGTTCTATTTCATGGCGGCAATTCATCAAAAATAATCATGAAACAATATGGCGGATGCAGATTATTTTGTTTGTAATGAGCCAACAAAATATCGTTGTATAACTTTTAACCTTCTCATTTGTAATGTATGCTGCGTGGCAGAATTAGATGAAGAAACATTTAGATGGATGGCTCAAGTGAGCGTGGGTTATTGTAATAAGTGTGCGATCGACAAGCGGGTAAATAAGCCGAAGCATGTTGGTCAAGTGAGCTGTACCATAAGTAGATTGAAAAAGAAACAAATCAATTCAGGCTAGGAAAATGCTAGTACAAATCACGATGAGATAGAAAGCAGCTCTGACAGTTCTGACAGTTCTTGCAAAACCAAGCAAAAGGTTAAAACGCAGAGACGTGGAAGAAAGGCAGCTTGGAAAGATTGTCATGTTGATGATCTTGTTGATGTAATCGTCAATGACGAAAACTTCAAGAAAAATTTAATTTTTACTAACATTAAAAAGAAAAAAAAACACTGAGGTTTACCAACGTGTTTTGGAAGTTCTGCAAAAAAGATATTCAGAAAAAGATCTAGCTTTCATCTTCCCATTCGATGTCAAACAAATCAGAATAAAATTCAAGTGGTGTGTTGCCATTTGTAAGAAGATGTGCCTTACAATACGAAAAGCCACCGGCTTTAAACGGATCCAGGATGAAAAGGGTTACAGTAAGTGGTTTACTTTGTTATACCCTCTGATAAAGTCTCGTGACTCTTGCCAGCCTGAGCGATTGAACCTGATGCTGTTATAGACATAGAAAATCACAATAACTTAGAAAATGATTTTGGAGTTGATGTTGACAGTGTACCATCAAGTGGGTCAAGCTTTTCTGTGGCAAAAAAAAACACATATAAGAAAAAAAGAAACTCTGAGTTATTGACTGATGCAATATTAGAGTCAGCTAAAGTTTTAAAAACTGCTGTGGAAAATGATCCCACTAAGGACATAATAAATATCATTAAAGAGGAAATGCAGCAATCCAGAGAGCAATACAAAAAATTTATGGAAAAAATGGCAATTATTGCTCAACAAAATTTACATCCAGGATCATCTCAAATTTATCGTCAAACCCCAATATCTGCTTATGACTGTACAGTTGGACACTTTACAAATACCAATCGGGGTTTAGAATTGAATTCATTTGATCATCAATCAAATGCAAGTGCACAACAACAAACATCTAGCAATGGGGACATGACATGGAACATGCTTAATAGCCCTAGTACGTATCACCATTTATAACACTGTTTTTGTATTTCAATTTCTTTACAAATACTTTATTTGAACTCAAATTGAGAAACATTCTTTTGTTTTTTTTAAATATGACTGTTTTGTTAGTGTTTTTGTAAGAAGATATTCTTTTATGTTTAAGAGAAATGTGAGAATGAACAGAACATTACATTTTACTATGGCTGCATGAAGTGTATCTTACAAGTTCTTCAAGTCTAATAATTAACTAAAAAATCCTAAACATAGAATACTTCTGTTATGACCCTCACCTAAACATTCAGTTATCTCTAATAAAGTCCATAGTGCATAGAAATTCAATGAAAACCAAGTAAACATTCTAATTTAATGCCTTGAGCATTGGCATAACCTGGCTATCCAGTTTGGTCATGCTTAAACACTATCATCTGGCTACCTCCATGTAAATAACTTCTACACAAATAAATATTACTAATGATCTATAATTTATACAGCACAACCTGGTTTTGCCACTGAGCAATGGTAATAAATTGCTAAGTTTACGTGCTGCTTGAACCAGAGGTTTTTTCTTCCCATAAATATTCAGAAATTGATGAACAAATCTGTTCAGCTTTGTTGCATGTGTCCCTAGTCTTTTCACAAGCCCTCATTTTAAGAAAATCTCTTACTACTGCTCTATCTCTTTGCTGATGAGTAGCAGGATCCACTGAAATGTCAAGGTGAGAAGAGAGAACTTCCCCTCTTTCAATACAAATATTGTGCAAAACTACACATGTACTACACATGTACTATGCACTACTTAGTCGATAATTGAAATTGCGTTGCTTTTCCATCAAGACACCTCTTGAATAAGGCTTCATTAGGTAGGTTGAAAATGGAAATGCAGAGTCTCCAAAAATTAAAGGAAATACATTGCAATTGCCAACTTTCTTAGCAATGTTTGGAACAATTTCTTGGTTTTCCATCTTCTTCCAAAATGATGTTGACTGTAAAATAACAGAATCGTGAGCGTTACCTGGAAACCCTGCACTTGCCCACACAAATCTGCTCTTAACATCAACTAGTGCAATTAAAACAATCGAATAGAAGTTTTTGAATTTGTGATATTTTTTTTGTGATTGTTGACCTCCTAGTGGGCAACTTATTGAAATATGGCACCCATCTACAGCACTCCGGCAGCAAGGAATTGTGAATTGTGAATCGTGAATTGCAACAATTTCTCCATATCTAAAATTTTTTCCTTGAAATCATTTTCTGTTTTGGGAAAATGATTTGAGACTTGTTCCCAAAGGTCACAAACAATAGCATCACACACTTATATAACTGTGTACTGTACTAACACCAAGTCTTGACATTTCCGCTATGGTGTAAGGGTAGTCACCTCTACCTAAACGATATAGGCAGATAGCTAAACGACATTCCGGTGAAACTGGCTCTTCTATAACAACTTTTTTCTGAAGTTTATGCCGAATCTTTTCGACAATAAAGTTAAAAGTACCTTTCGAAACTCTAAAAGTACCTTTGAATTGTTTATCCGAGTAATTTTCCCAAATGTTTCTCGGTAGGCGACGACAACTTCGAATCCTTGACTTCAGAGTGGTTATTGTTTTAACACTTGCCGTCACATTCAGTAGTGACAGAGCAGCTATAATTCTCATATACCTTCGGTGAAGCAATAATAGTAGAACGTACCACTAAAAAATGTTCTTTGTCGCTGTCTCAACCGACGTTTGTAAATTGTAAGCAAACGAGTAAATTGTTTAACTGATGGGGAGCCATCTTGTTTTTCCAATTCATGAGCTGTAGATAGGAGTCTAGGGACGAGCACGGAGTTTTCTGAATTAAATTCGACAAAAAAATTCGACATATAACTTTGCCTTGAGTTTTTGTCGCATTATTGTCGAAGTTAATAAAATCAAATTCGTATGAATTAAATTCGTCCGTATAGCGCAGGCCTAAGTGTAACAAGTATAACCACTTTGCAAAAATGTGCAAAAGCGCTGGATTAATAAAGGACAAAAGAAAAATACATGGAGGTAACTTTGTAAAGGAGTGCGGTGACGATGAATGCAAGTTCATTCATTGACACTGTCGATAGGCGCTAGAACTACGCAGACGGCAATTTGCAACCTTGAACCAAAGGAAACGTGGTATTGCTGGACGCTTTTTACATGTTGTAAGGAATTTTAAGTCCAATTTAGCTTTACCAAGTTTGAGTTCCAGGCGTTGACACTTTCTGAATTCTTTAAGCGTTTTATAACTTTTATTGTCATATCGATTTGTCAATATTGTTGCCAATGAGGTGCCAGGCGGAAAACTGATTCTCAATATAAATATTACAGCCCAACAAACAATTTTAAACATAGTCATAAAAAATTTGGTTTTATGAAATTTATTAAAAGAGTGACGTTTCGTCTTTACTAAAGATATCTTCAGATTAATTTGGAAGTTAACAAGAATATAGATATATATAGAGATCTTTACATAGTTTGAGGTATCAGGTTACTGTGAATGTGTAAGTGTGATGTGATGTATTGTGTGATGTAAGTGTGATGTATTGTTAGGGTGACTTTGACTAGAAAACGCTATCCTAACCCATTAATCTCAAGTATTCTTTCTCATAGAACTCCTCCAACCACCCTGCTTCACCAGACGATTTTAAAATCATCTAATCCTGCTCCGACACATTCGAGCTCATGATCCACGAAAGCCTCCTCATCTCCAAACTAAAACGTTCACTCAACAGTCAAGGCAGCTCCATCCCTCTTAAGCTTTTCTAAACTCAACACCTCACCCTAACAATACATCAAACTTACATCGCACTTACATCACACTTACATCACACAATACATCACATCACACTTACACATTCACAGCAACCTGATACCTCAAACCATGTAATATGTTTAAACATGTATAACCTCTATATATATCTATATTCTTGCTAACTTTCTAATTAGTCTGAAGATGTCTTGAGTAAAGACGAAACGTCACTTAAATCTTGTTCGGGACCCCCAATAGTGGTACGTGGTACAGTGGTTTTGCCAGTCCTTTACAGATAGAACTTTTACAATGTGAAGTTCTATGTAGTAGATGTAAAAGCATGTCCAGTTTTGAGTGCTAAAACCTGCCAAGAGCTCAATTTAGTGAAAAGAGTTTATAAAATTGCCAAAGAAAAATCAGAGGGACAGATTACCAATGTAAGTAATCTAGACCATGATTATCCAAAATTGTGTAAAGGATTGGGCTGCCTTCCCGGAAAATAGAATATTTCATAAGACTACAATCGAATGCAAAACCAGTTATTCATCCACCTCAGAAAGTCCACATAGCATTAAAGGGCTTAGTAAAAAATGA